CCCAAGTTGAAGATAAGAACGTCATTACGACTACACGTAAGACATAATTATTCCAACGGGGTCTCATCTGAGCGGTGGAATTCGATCCAACTCAACGAGTCCTAAGTCTCGCAAATCAGAAAGAAACCACCTCCTAACTTAGTGCATACTCGAAAGCTCGGGTAGAAAGCTTTATCCTCACAAACCAAGCCAAATGAACCCAAGAAGTTAGAAAGAACATCACCATAAAACAAATAGCAAAACAAATAAAAGCACGAATGCGACAAACAAAATAGGCGTGGCTCGCTAGGTGTTCCCCAGCAGAGTCGCCAGCTGTCGCTACTCGAAAAATGCATCGCGCAACGACGGGGAGGCGAAAAGGATAGACAGAAGAGTCGCCACCGAACTTTATTTATCCCATTAGGGGAAAGGAAAATATCGAGAAAACCTTAAGAAAGAAATGGATAAGATGGTCTCGCGACCAAGAACGGGTTCGGAAGCCGGTTATGCGAGGGGAAGGTATTAGCACCCCTCGCATCCATCGTACTCGATGGGAACCTTTTGTTTGTCGACGTGATTTCATTTGCTTAAATATTATGCTATAAAAAGAGTGTTTCAAAGGGGTAAAGGGAAAGGTTTAGAAACGGGGAAAGAGAGGAAACAGGGGGAATTGTGCTCGGCAAGGATTGTGGCCCTTGTGCCTACGTATCTTTACTTGAACAAAGTAAAGAATCAGAGCAGCCGTAGTTCGGCCTACGGTGTGTTGATGTTTTTTATGGATGATGCTATCATGCGCATTCTAGCAGTTAGGTGTTTTGCTGCTCGCTCGTTGGAGACTTAGGCGTTACCTGTTTGCGGTAGAACGGACGTAACATACCCTTTTGAAAGATTGATTAGTTTTCGCCACGCGGGGCAAGAAGTCACGTTTGATTGATGAGATTGTTTTTAGGGGGGGGCGAGACAGGTCCTCAGATAGTAACCCCTACGGGTAGTACCCAATTCTTTGTCTCAAAGTTTTTGTTGTAAAATATGTGTGGCGAACGTAGCGTCTTCGTATTGAAAGACGAGTATCAAGACCACACACACTACAGTGAGTATCCTGACACACGGAGAGGAAGAAGACTACACTCAATCCTCTCTCTTTAATTCAACACAAAGAGAACTTCATTCTCTTATTAAAGTGTTTTTGGTTTTGAATGGTAAGTGCTTTGCGACAGAGAACCCTACGGTAAACGTCAACACTCGGGATAGGAGAAGGCCTACGCCTAACCACTCCACGACCATTCAAGTTTTTGTTATGAAAAAAAGAAATTGAAAATGCACTCGGTGCGAGACCGAGGTTTTTTAGGTGACAAGGGTTGCGGGAGGAAGTTGTGAAAGGAAATGGTGGATAAAGTCGCGTCTTCGTATCGAAAGACGAGTATCGAGACCACCCTCACTACAGTGGGCGTCCCAACATTCGAAGAAGAAGGGGTCTACACCCAACTCTCTCATTTAATTCGATACAAAGAACTGATTTTTGAGAAACGTTACAAGATACAACGCGAGCAAACCCTAATAGAGGGTCAACTTTCAAATAAGTCCAAGATCTTGAAAATCGTCAATGATTTGAAATGTTGTCTTATTAAATGAAAAAAAAAATTAAGATTATAGTTAATTTGCAAAAAGAAAGGATCTAAAATAAGTAAGTATTTAAAAATATATTGATTTTGGATATTATATAGTTAATCAAATAAATAAATTAAATGAAATTAAGAAAAAGGCAAGAGGTGGGAATCGAACCCACCTCCCTTTGGTTCAAAGTCAACAATCCCAACCACTAAGACACCAGGCGCGCGTTTGACATGGAATAGGGAGGAAAAATATAAAAGAGTAGAAAGGAAATATAAAGGAAGAAAATAAAAAGAAAAAAAAGTGGTTTTGGTCCATGGCAAGACTCGAACCAAGGTGTACAGCATTACAAGGCGCATGGTCTACCGCTGGGGCGGTGATACTTCCAATAACCAAAGTGGAAACAGAAAGATATATAGTAAACATTCATAAATTGCTGGACCAAAAAAAAAAAAGAACAACACAAAGGCATAAGCAAAAGCCAATGAAAGCAAATCGAAACTCCACGAAACCGAGTAAACCTGGAGTCGTGTAAGGAAACTCAGCGGCCAAAGAAGTTTGAGAAACCTTGCTTGAAGCTGCACACAGTTTTCTTTTAGAGGAGCTTCACAATTTTCTTCTGATATCTTGTCCAAAATGTGGCCGCTAGGGTTTTCTTTGGCTCCTCATCTTCCTTTTATACTCTCAACTCTCGAATCCAAATGCCTCCTCTCTGATTTTTCTCTCGCGTGGCTTTTCTCGTGAGGTACAGGCTAGGGTTTGTAGTGGCTGCTGTGCTTGCCCAAACTGGTGAAAGAGGCAGAGAAACACAGGGCTTGGTACTCTTGTGGTTGGCCTTGAAAAGGAAAGAGGTAGTACGCTCCAAAACTTGTTTCACCATTTCCCTCTTATCTTGCAATTTCAAACACAACTCATCCAATACACCTCTATCATCAAACCTAAAGAACAACAAATTGATCCTTGCGAAGAGGTGATTAGGATTGAGCTTTATTTCGTTAAAAATGGTGATGTCTTGCTCTATCCTCCCTCCTTCACGCACAAAATGTTTTGCTTTTCATCTTCTGCCCAGCCACAAACAAAGCAAGGTATGTCATTAAACTGGGGTGGGATAATCAACGGATGTATCGCCACCCCAGTGGTTAAGTCATGCGCCTGTTTATTCTATGGTCACGAGTTCGAAACCTGGTGGGAGCAGAATCCACCACAATTTTTTATTCATGCGCCCTTTTGTTCCTTTCTTAATATGTATAGTTTTCCTTTCATATTATTCTCAAATGCGCGCCTGTAGCCAAGTGGTAAAGGTGAGGGGTGTGGAGCAAGAGGTGGTGGGTTCAAACCCCACCTTGTGCACTTGTCTCAATTATTTTACTTAGGAAAATGATCTCCCTATTCTCCATATATTTTGAATACACATCCCTTTCCTTCTTCTCTTTTTTCATATATCCCTGTAAAAGTGCAAATTAAAATATGCTATGTAATGTTTTTATGCCTTATGTTGATGCAGATGAAATAAAACATGTGCCAGAGTGGTTGGCCAAATTTGGGGTACAACAAAGACTTCCGTTGACTTTTACCTTTCTTCTTGTCGAACTTACCATCCTTTCGCAAGAATTTTCCCTTAACGGCCAAACCTTCGCCCACCGTCGAAGGTTTATGCTCCTTTCGTTCGTTCAAGTCCTTAGAATACAAGGATGATTGAACTTCTTCAAAGGTTAGGGACTCCCTTCCATACAAGAGAGTTTCTTTGAAGTGAGCATGTGTTTTGGGCAAAGCAAACAGCAACAACAGTGCTTGATATTCATCATCGATCTTCACATCAATATTTTCAAGATCAAGAATCAGCTTGTTGAACATATCCAACTGCTCAGCCAACACTTTGTCTTCACTCATCTTGAATGAATATAAAGCTTGCTTCAGGTAGAGTCGATTCACCAGAGATTTGGTCATGTACAAGCTTTCAAGTTTCACCCATAATCCCGATGCTATAGTCTCCTTTGATACCTGTCGAAGAACCTTATCACCAAGGCTCAACAATATTGTGTTGTGGGCTTTCTCGATCATGCCCGTCTTTTCTTTTGTCGTTAACGCAGCGTCCATGGCTGCCTCACCCTTCAACGCTTCCAAACACCCTGCTGAACCAATAGGGCTTTCATCTTCAAGCGCTACAGACCGAAGTCGTTCACTCCGGTGAACTTTTCAATCTCATACTTTGTTGAAGGCATCTTCTCCACGCTCACCGCACCAATTTGTTGTGAATCGGATACCTTATAACAAAGTATAAACGGTTTCTTAATGATCAAGAAACACACAAGGGTTAGGCTTAACAAAGAAAACAAGGTAAAATAACAAGGAACAACAAGGATTGGTTATTAAACTGCTATTCTTTCCTTTCTCTTTGAACAAGATTACAAGTATACAAGAATAACAAAATAACCTCTCTCCCTTGAAATTAGGATTTTATCTTCCTATTTTTCCTTATGCCAAGATTGAGAAACTAGCATCCTATTTATAAGAAAAATAGCACACTAACCTAATGGGCTTTTTAACAATTACCCATTACAAGTCAACTTAGGGTATAAGCTAACTTAAACAATTTGGCTTACAAGCAAGGCCCAATTCAACATGCTAACAACCCTAGCAATATTGACTAATGCATGTTAGAATAAACTTCGACTACAACACGCATTACTCGCGAACAGACTTCGACCATACTAGAGTTCTATCCAACATCTCACAGTGTTTTACTTAACTTGGTTTCTTACTTACTTTGACATCTACTTTTGTTATGTGTTCACTTAGCATCGATAGTTATTACTTCAAAATTATGGGACTTTTCGTTTATTATTTTGATATACATTTTTTGTCAATGGTTTGATGTTTTGATTGTGAATGTCTGTCACTTGAAACTCAGGGTGAAAAAGAATATTAGAAAGTATTTTTCAAAAGAAAGCCACGTTATAAAATATATAGTCATAATTTAAAGAAACATAGGTTACATCAACACTTCAAGCCAACACTAAAAGGTATTTTCAGTTTAGAATTTAAAGAGACACGGGTTATATCAGCACTACATAGCATAAGATTGGCCAACACTACAGAACAAATTTTTTGTAGTGTCTCTAGGAGCAATGGATTTATCCTCCTTGCGATAGTACTATCTCCCAATATCTCCGCTTGTTCATCTCGCACTGGCTGTCTATTACTCTGGTATATGATGACAATATGTAAGTTGAATTTCTTATAAATATATCTTATAACAAAAAAAATTAGTCAAAAAATATGTGTCCATAATTGGCATCAAAGTTGTATAGTAGGTGTAAAAAATCACACTAAAATGTATTGTATGTAGTTATGATTGCATATGATGATACTATATATAAATTGAATATGAAGGTTGATAAACTTACTAATTAAAGATTTTGAAAGACCTCTTTAAAGACAACGTTGGTGGTAATGTTGAGTGACTGTCTTTCATCATCATGTATTAAGATCTTGAGACCCTGCTTGCTCTTAACTCTGGAAATCGCCACATATAGTTGGCCATGGCTAAACACTGATCTAGACAAGTACAACCCGATGTAGTCGAGTGATTGACCTTGTGATTTATTGATTGTCATAGCATACGAGACGATTATAGGAAATTGTCTTCTAATAAGTTTAAATGGCCATGGTGATTGAGACAGAGACAAAGACATCTGTGGAATGTAGATCCTGCTTCCGATATTCTTCCCAGAAATGATCTTTGCTTCAAGCACATGATTTGCCAGCCTTGTGACAATTAATCTAGTACCATTACACAATCCTTCTTTTTGGTCTAAATTTCTTAAAAGCATTATCGGAGTACCAATCTTGAGTTTGATTTTATGGCTAGGAAGACCTGATGTTGTTAGTGAGCTCAAAAACTCTGGGGTAAGTTTTTCAAATGCTTCACTGGTATTAGCTTCTGACCGATCTATAAAATTTGAACTTAAATACTCCATTTCTTCACCTATAGTGTAACAAGATATTATTTGAATGAACATAATAAGTCTTGAACAAAATAAGGTTGATATTAAATAAACATAACGAATCAAGAAGTATCTGGAGCCAATTGTAGGACATATTCATTTATTTGATCGACAACATCAACTTTTGATGCTAAAATGGCCCTAGATTGCAAAAAATCTTCATTCTTGTGATTTTCCATTAAATTTGGATATGTGCTTTTCACAATTGCTTCAATAGGATCATCAAAATTGGTAATCAATAATTCACTTGGAATATCTATCTCAGCATAACCATCATTTGGCTCAGAAATTTTTCCATCGCCAATATTTAATATCCATTGTGAGAATTCATTGAGTTCTACAGTATCGGAACTTTGTGGCCCAGCTTGCAAACGCATATTTTTTGTTAGAGTTAACACTTGACAATGATCCCAAATATATGATGCATTAATTGTTGCATGGACGATGTCCAAACGACTTCCACTTGGAATGACGGGTAGAATTTGCCTAAAGTCTCCCCCAAACACTACTACTTTTCCTCCAAATATTGAAGTGCTTAAACTCATTATGTCTTTAAGAGTTTTGTCCAATGCCTCAAAACAAAATTTATGGGCCATTGGAGCTTCATCCCATATTATGAGTTTTGTTAGTTTCAGCAACTCTGCAATTTCACTTCCTTTTTCTATATTGCAAGTCGAGCAATCATATGTAGGAATAGGAATTTTAAACTTTGAATGTGCAGTACTTCCTCCTGGTAATAAGAGTGATGCTATTCCACTTGATGCCACAGTCAATACAATTTGACGTTGAGAACGTATGGCTGATGCTAAGGTTTTCCACACAAAAGTTTTTCCAGTTCCACCATAACCGTATAAGAAAAATACCCCTCCCTTTTGGTTATTGACTGCTTGCATAATTGTTTCAAATATTCCTCTTTGTTCATCTATAACAAAACCAAATTCAATTTTTAATACTTGACACAGATTTGATAGTTAGAATAGTGAATGGTTGTTAGTAAACAAATAAATAACCTGTTAGAGAACTGTACAATTGTTGGAATTGTTGTTGTTGAACATCTTGATCATAGTCACGTTCTTCATATATTAGTCTATTTCCTAATTGATCCGTGACATAATCTTTTGGATATGGCATTGACGGATATTCCTTCAGACTTCTTTGGTTTGTTTGCAGATGTTTCTCAATCTCAAATAGAGATAAATTTTGTATCTCTTCACAAGTTGCAAGTCTAAAAATAAGACAAACCCACATTCCATAAGTATTGTTATGAAGTGCTAAATTGTTTAATCTATGAAATAAGGTTATTGAACCATACCTTGATTGGCAGCCAATTTCCTTTGATCATAAAGTATTCCACCAGACAACAATTTCCAAGTTTTATTCCACACTGAGTCTGGTCTATTAATGGTATTTGACAGGAGCATAGTAATAAATAACTTCCTTAAGTACTTTCCAGAACCCCACTCATTTGCTTCTTTTATGGCCTCTATATTGTTTCTATCATCTTCAATGAAACCCATTGCAAAACATGCTTCTCCAAATGTTTTATATTTGATCTGATTAACAGTTTTAATATCTTCATAGCTGCGCGGTCCTTTAACAACAGTTAGCATCATTCTTAAATAAAAAAGCTCTCCAGTACTTGGAGGAACCCAAAGTAGCCTCCCTATAGTATAACCTCTCCTACGCGGTTTCCATAACCGTTTCCCCTTGTCATATACAAATTTAGAAACAAATTGAACATAAGTCAAATTTTTGGCTTGAGGATAAATCTTGTTTGCTTGCATCCAAGATGTAAACATCGATTCAGTGACACTTGGCTTCAACAACACATCATCAATATGCTCACAATCGTTAAAGTAGACCAATTGCTCTCCTGGAATATGAAAAAACAACCTTTCAACGGCTGGTTTTCGACCATGTATTGGAAATGAAAAAATTCTCCAACATGCTTCAGCTGGTGTCACATACCTACAATCAATATACTGTTTGATCTCATCAATGTTACCACTTTGAGTTGAACCGATGCCTTGTGTCGTATCAATAACAGCTGTTATTCTGTCGTAACCTTTACTTATGTGCTTGAATAAGTACTTTATTGATGTGTTTTGGTTACACCATTCTATGTTTATATGTGCCTGGTACTTCATCAGCAACATAGGATTGTATGGTACAACATTTTTGTTAGTGAGCGAAACTCCATTCTTGACAATTGTGTTACCGTCGTCTCTTCGTCTATAGACTGGATAACCATATTTGTCGACAATTGTTGAGTTCTGACACTTCTTAGGATAATATTTTGAGCAATTTCCATCTTTCATGCAAGGTGATGATTTGTGAGATAAACCACATGGACCGTGAATCATGTAATTTTTAACCAAATTATATAACTCTTTCTCATGTTCCTGATTCGGTATCTCAGCTGAAATGATTTTGTCAATATCATCAGGGGCAGGGTATTTATTTGAAGGATGTAAAAATATTACTATGTGCGCATGTGGTAATCCCCTCTTTTGAAATTCAATGGTGTATATATCTGAAACAAAATTTTAATAAGTTTGTTAGTTAATATAAACAATCAATGCTTGTAGATAAAGTTATATAAGCATGTTCTGTGTATTAACAATAATAAACTTACATGCAAGAACTTTCCCAAACACATTTTTCTTGGTCAAATCTGAAATGAGCTCGTCCAATTTCATTTTAAATATCCTTGATATTATATCTGGACGATCATGTGCTTTCAAATTTATTGATCCTAGCACTCTTTGTATTTCTGGCCAATTGGGATTGCAGGTAAATGTAATAAAAAGATCTGGAAAACCAGCATAGCTACAAATTGCCATTCCATCAAAATATAACTGATTCATGTATCTACGACTTCCCGCATGTGTTTCAGGTAATATTACTCTTTTTCCTTTATTTGACCCTTGAGTTTGGATTTGGTGATCAAATTCATTAAGACTACGATATTTAGAAACTCGTAGCTTGGATTGATTTTTCCTGAGCCAATTGAGTCTTCCAGACTCCACCATAGTGAATCCATCAACTAAAAATTGTTGGTATAGTCTTCTTGAACATAATAGAGTTTGTGCTTCCTCTGCTCTAGATTGAATTCTAAAAGCAAGCCATTCTCTTATAGTCAGCCAATTCCTTTGTCTTCTCTTAGAATTTTCTATATCTCTATGAGCCACGCCACGTCGGTAGCCATCTTCACCATATGGAAATATTAAGGGATATTGGTAAGATAAATAGCTAGCATGAAATTCATCTATTCTTTGAAGTTTACCACATTGAGTCTCTATTATTATATCTCTTTTTGAAGCAGTACCAACATCACCAACAATAAGAGCAGCTACTTCAGACACATTGGGCTGATTGGATATTCTACCATCAGTAATTCTCTCAGAAATCAGCCTTAGCTTCAAATTGTTCACATTACCTTGATTCAATCTTTCTCTTACCATCCGAAAAGACTTTGTATGTGTATTATGTTGATAAAGCATTTCAGACAATTTGCAAACAGTATTTGGGTCAATGTTGTTATTGTTCCTATAAATCAAATCAGGAAAAGAGATTGGCTCTAAAGAATGGTTTAAAAATAAAGCTTATGAACAAACTTATCTTTCTAGTTAAATGAAGTATACTACCTTTGTACCAAAATATAAGATCCTCCTAAATTGTCTCTTATTATAAAATTCCTTCAAACTTATTTTATGATAAACAAGCATGTACATACCTTATCCCTTGAAGTCTATTTTGTATTTCATTTTCTGTATCATAAATGTAAAGTTGTGCAAACTTTGGTGATTGTTCTGGCATAGGCAGTAAACTTCCTATTCTATGACATGATTGACCTTGTATTCTGATTGTTGGTGGCCCTCTAGTATTATTAAATTTGTTATCGAATTTTGCTCCTGGTGAAGTAAATGCAAACATCATGTTATAAACTCTGATGTGCTGTTGGAAGTTCTTGCTAACTGATGAATCACGATCAAATAGAAGATGTTGAAGAAATGGAGGTGGTGATTTCAAGAGTGGAAGTTGAACCTTTCCATTTCCACAACATAGTTGGTACTTAGGACTTGCAGCATGTTTATGTTTATTCATTCTTTCTTGGTACCACATTTTTGCTCCACAATACTCGCACTCAATTAGTGGATCGCCGACATCATAATAACCTATATAGATTAACACCAAAATAATATCAGTTATACCATTGTATTGTTGTGCACTTTATATAAATTGTTTTAAACTACCTTCAGTAAGAATGCCATAACCCTTAGATTTGTAATTTGTATGCGTTTCTTCTTCATCAAGACTCGAGTTGCTATGATCATCACTTGAACCTGAAGAGTGTATTGTTTTGTTTTACACTGGATCAGTACAAAAGTAAATATATAACCTACTTTATTAATAACTTATATGATATGATTGTTATTTGTACCTTCAGAGGAATCATAGACATTTTTTTCCTGCACATGTCTATCTGCACTTGATGTATTCCAATTTATGGCAGTTGGCAACTTCAGGTCTGATGAAGACGAAGCAGCATGGGTATTGATATCTACAAACTTGCTCGTTAGATTGACACGCAAGGAATCAATACCAGCCACAGTTTTTTCCCTCTGATATGGTTCTAGGCTAGTATTTCGCTGAGTATACATTTGAAAATTAGTGTTGAATCTGTTGATGCTCCTATTGTTATTCTGATTGAGCTGATTCTGCTGATTCAACGTTTGAGAAGCTATTTTAAACTGTGAAGTACTTTGAAATAACAACCTTGGCTGAGCCTCTTTTTGATTTTGACAACCACTACTTTTTTGATGCACCGTCTTATGTTTCTTTGCATTTCTTTCTTGCAGGAATGTCTTTCTTCTCAACCGCGCTTTTGCTGCATTAGGTTTTTTGTCGGTGTTCTGATACGGATCCATTGGTCGGAGAAATTGTGTGCAAAACTAATAACTAGTGGGATG